CTAGACTTGATACCGGAAGGTTTTTTTTGCTTTTGCCTCCAACTCCTCCCCCCTGTCTCTTCACGATCTAAGACACTACATTAGACTATACAGTCTCTCCCTGTTGTGTTTTCAGTTCTTGGAAGTTTAACACTATTCCACTCCTACCACATTTTAGGCCTTAGAAAAAGCCACAGCCACTAAGACCTAGGGCTGACAAAACACCTATAGAAAAGCTGGGTGAAAACGCAGGCTAACAGCAGGTCAGGGCAGGTCAGATAGCAACAGAAAGCCTGTGACCCATAAAATATTAAAGACAAACAGAGTAACTTTGTCTTTGCCCATCCCCTTTTTTAGATTCTCACTAACACTGCCAGTATCTTTGATCACTTGAAGCAGTTTCAAAATACTCAACAGAATCTAAACTCAGAGGTGTCAGTTTTTTTGATTGCTCTCTCTACAGCAGTCAATGTCACAATCTTCTCTATGCAGCCCAAGCCCAGGCTTGGAGGTCATACATAAGATGATCACAGCACTAATAACTACCTTTCCAACACTTACCATCAGCATCTACCTCGTTGATCATATCCTGCAATTCTGCTTCTGTTGGATTTTGACCCAATGACCTCATGACAGTCCCCAGTTCTTTTGTTGTGATAGTACCATCACCATCTTTGTCAAATAGGGAAAAGGCTTCCTTGAACTCTAGAGGCAGAAACAGTCCCAGTGTTTAGTAACATCATTAGCATGAGAAAACTGCACACTAAAAATGCTTTAAGAAGCACTAAGAAATTTAAGAAACATTTTATCTAACTGTCCATGTATTGAGAGAATTAACATTCAAATACTAATTAAAAAAATTACTTACAGTACGAAGACATAATTTGCATGGTATATTCAAACATATTTCATGTGGCTATTATCTGCATTACAACTCTATAATGCATTTCAGCATCATCTTACTTGAGGCACAATTGCACCATAAATGGCAGCTACTCAGGATAAACAAAGGGACCCACTAGGTTCCCTCCACCATTATCAGACTTACAGGAACAATAAGTGTTGTCATTTACCACTTATTTTTTAAGGCAGACGACAATAAGAATTAATGTCAGCCACAAGTGGATGACTGGTCTCCAGAAGGTCAAATAATGCTCTTTCTCCTAACCAGTTTGAATTACAGACACTCTGTTATTAGTTATTTAAGAGATACTGGCTTATATTAATGTGTGATAAATCCATTTTAGGTTTATTTGTTGCCATTTCAAGTTTATCTTCACTTTATTAAAAAGAAAAGAGTACCTAGGTCTGCTTTGAATCCAAGAAGTTCACTTGAGTCTAGCAATTATTTCTGTTTGCAAGAAATCTAGAAGGACTTGGCTCAAGTCTGAAAGTCTAAAAAAAATCATTATCTGTAGCCCAAGGAACAAGCAGTCTAAATTAAGAGGCAATGAACCAGTAATATTCCAGAATGTTGTGGGTTTTTTTTTTAAAAAGGAAGTGTTTTTTAAAAAGTGTTAGTACATATTTGAAATTGTTAAAAAGGAAGGGGTTTTTTCCATTATGTTTGAGATAAAATATTTTCTTTCAGTCACAAGGAGTTAGCAAAAAATAATAATTTCTCATTAAGACACTTACCAGCAATCTGTTCCTCAGTCAGCTGATCAGCCTACACGAAGAATAGAACATTTTAGAATATTGTTTACCTCTAGCTATGTCAAGCCATGAGACACTTCCTTTAGACTTCAGTAGTGATTTATCATTACTTTCACAAAGCCACTTTCAACCCCTGGAATTCTGTCTCTGCAAGGAAATTCCATTCACCTACACCATGCAGCTGTTACCAAAAGCACAGAAGCTAACTTATTTTGAAACTGCACATGCACAACCAGATATACCATCCTCTGGCTCGGAGAGTCCGATTTGGTCAAGTGAAGGACACAGGGAAGGCTCTGTGCGATTGGTCAGAGGGGCATGAAATCCTTTAATGACATATGTTTGGGGTTTCACATCACATCTGATGTCATTTCCAGCAGTATAGTGACCCTAATACCGCATGGGGGGTATTTGCACATCAGTGGACTAATGACAAGTGTGCCACCTAGTGATCTAACACTACTGAAGTCCACCCTCCCCCACCACATTGCATTGAGTATTAGCCTACTGTAAGCTTAACAGAAAGGACTGTGCTGTGATATTAGGAGGAATTACTACTTGGTATTATGGAGATTTTTGCCGTCTCTGACAAAGAAAATGCCAGTTTTCAAGCATCACATTTTTCCATTCAGCCAAGCAGTTTAAGGTGCCTCACACTGATTTGCAGGTTGTTTTACGTATCATGTGGCAAGATTTAAAATGTCTGCTTATGACCTTCTGTATATCAAGAGGCCACTGCTGCATCCAAAGGTATACAGCTCAGCAAGCAATTAAATGGGCCTTCCCAGAGCTTAACTGTTAACCACATCCTTCCAGAAGCCTCTCCCTTCTGTATGGATAGGGCATCACAAAAAGCTCCGCTGTTCAGACTCAAGGGAACTAACCAGCTCCTTATGGAAAAATACGCATTTTCCTAGTAATGAAAGAAAAAAAAACACCTGGATTTTACATGCCAAGTCACAGATACTGGAGAATACAAAGTACTAACTCCTTTTAAACTCATTTTATTGGACAGCTTTTACTAACAGAACAGAGGATTTTGTAGGTCAGAGAAAGCAGGCATCTTGTAACCCTTTGGTCCTAAAATACCATCATGCAAGTATAAAACCCATGTAACTGCAGTAAAGAGCAACTAATACAATGCAGAAATGACAGACTATACAATCTGTCAAGCTCTTCCACAGGGGAATAGGGTAGGGTTGAAAGCCTGCTGTATATGTTGGGTGACATACACAGATTTCACCTGTATATAGGTGTTGGGGTTTGGTTTTATGTTTTTATGTCTGTATTTAATGATTAAACAATTCCCCATATGCACAGTGGGTTGGGGGATTAAAGAAGAGAAATGCTAGCAGCTAAAGACGGAGTTCAAATTTATTCAATCTTCTTTAATAACAGCAGAAAACTTGTGTTCAGAATCCAGTTCGACTGTCAGCACTCTTTGTGGTTTCCCAGAAAATGCGAGGTTTTGACTTAAAGATTATCTAAGGAATTTACATAACAGACTCAATGCCCTGCAGAACAGGAAACAGAGCCACACCTCGGTAAAAACCTCCAACCCACAGCACCAGCTCATTGCCCCATTAGTTGGAGCTCACTGGATGTTTCTAAAAATCAGATTTCGAATTAAAAAAAAACAAAGCAAAACAGAAACACATAAAACAAACAGAAACACAACAAAACCCGACTTTGCACACACTGCGATGCCAGAAGCACACAACCCGACCCTGCACCGCCATGGGGTTCACCTTTCCGAGCAACAGGCACAGGCACTGCCCGCTTGCCCTGGCTACAGGACAAAGGTACCCAGGGCTGGAGCCATCACCCCACCCAGCCAAGTCATCAAATCCTGTCCCGGTGATGTCAGCCTTCCCCGACAGGAAGGGGAGATGGAGAGACAGAGCCGAGGAACACCCAGATTGCCAAAACGCGATTAGAGGTCAGCCTACAACTGTTTCGCCGCTCTCTTAGGAAGCGAAAAAAAAAAAAAAAAAAAACGCCGGGGAAAAAAACCCGGCCCTTCCTCTCGCCCCGGTGTACGCGGGGTCCGGGCTGCTGGCACGGCAGCGCCCGCCGGAGCCCACCGGCGCGGCGGGGAGCGGCCGGGTCGCAGCCCGCCGGGCGCAACAGGCGCCCTTCCCGGCCGGCAGCCACCCGCTGCGGCACTGCGGCCCCGTTCCCCCGCCCTCACCACGTCCTCAGCCTGCAGCCGGGAGGGCGCCCGGGCTCCGCAGCCAGCCAGCCATCCCCCCCGTCTCCTTCCCCCTCCCCCGGCGGCGGGGGTAGCGGCTTTACCACCACCACCACACACACCCCCCCCCGCCGCCGCCGAGCCCCCCATGCGGGCGTTGGGCCGCTTCCAACCGAGCGACGCGCACTGCGCCCCGTTCCCCCCCCACCCGGAGGGTGCGCGGGGGCCGGGGAGGAAGAGGAGGAGACATGATGTAATGCAGACAGCGATGGGCTTCGCCGCTGCTGCGTTTTTCTGGGGGATGGGGGGGGGGGGCGAGGGCGCAGTAGCTGCAGCGCGGTGCCCTCCCCCCCCCCCCCCCCCCGCTCCCTGCGCAGTGCAGCTGGTGCCGGAGCCGAGCGGGACCCTTCACCCGCAGACCCGCGGCCCCGCCCGGCGCGGCCCCCGCCCCGCAACGCGCCCCTGCCCGGCGGAGGGGCCGCGGCCCCGGGGAACCGCGCCCGGCCCTTTCCGGAGGGGAGCCAGCGCCTCACGCGGGGGAAGGCGAGGCGGGGCCGCGGCGGGAGGGCGCGGGGCCGGGGCGCCCACACGGCAGGCCCCGGGTAAAGGGGAAGGAAGCGGCGGAAGGAGAAAGGCCGCAGCTCCGCGGCGATCCCGGGGGGGGGGGGGGGGGGAAGGGCGGGGGAGGGCGATGGGCGTCCGCAGCCACCAGCCCGCTCACCCCGCGGGGACCCGGGCGGGAAGGGCTGCGGCCTTCCCCCCCCCCACCCCACCCCCCCGCTCCTCCCCGGAGGGATCCCGTCTCCACCGACCCAACCGTCCCCGGCTCCGCAGACGAGCCAGTCCCCGCGGCAGCCCGGGCCCCCCGCGCCGCAGCCGGCTGCGCGACCTACCATGGCGCGGCGGCACGAACTGCGCGACCAGGAGCTGCAGCGGCGGCTGGTGCCTCCTCCCCGGCGCGGCTCGGAGAAGTGCTGGGGGTGTGAGCCTGCGCCGCCCCGCTATATATGTAGGGCTGTATCCCTCCGCCGGAGCGGGGCCTTTTTCTCTCCTCCCCGGCGCGGTATGTGTGAGGGTGACTGCGGCGAGCAGCCCTGCCCCCTCCACGGCCCGGCCCCTCCCCTGGCAGGCCTGCCCCCCCCCTCTCCGCCCCCCCCCCCCCCCCCAAGCGACCGTTCCCCCCCAGAGGCGCGGCCGCCTGCCCGCTGCGGGACCCGGGGCCCGGCGGTGCCCTCACCCCCCCCCACCCCCCTTCCCCTGTCTCCTCGCCCCCCCCTGAGGTAAGAGCCACGCAGGGACAGGCCGCGGAGAGCAGCTCCCCCCGCGGGCCGAGGGAGCGGCCCCGCTGCCGGAGCGACAGGGCTGGAGCCTGCCGCGGGCTGCGCAGCCCACCCCCAGCCCCTAAACCGAGGGGCGAGGGCAGCCCGGCCCCGGCAGTGGCCATTTTCCGCCGAGCCCTGATGCCAGCGGAGACGGCGGGGGCAGAGCTGCCCGCCCGGGGACCCCGCCCGCCCCGCGGCTTCTCCCCATCGCCCCGGCGTGAGGGGACTCTCGGCCGAGTTGGTGTTTTTTTGTGGTTTTTGGTTTTTAGGGTTTTGTTTGGTTTTTTTTTTTTTTTACAGACGGCATCCCCGCTGGCGGTGCGGCGGCCTGCGCTCCCCCGGGGAGCCCGGAGCGGCACCTGGGAGAGGAGGATGGCACGGGGAGGGGGTGCGCGAATAAGGCCCGTTCTTCGGGGGAATCTAAACGACAAGGGGGTACGACAGAGTCTGTAAAGCTGGTATGTTGAAGCGAGCACTGCTGCCCTGTTTTAACCGTAGGGCTTTTGCCAAGCGCTAAAATCTAGATGATGATAAGATTCAATCCAAAATCTCATGGTCTGCAACTGACGTGTCACTTCAGCCCCTTCTCAGCAGAACGGCTGTAGGCTACAAGTGAGAGGCAGCGAAAGCATGCCCTGATGTCGAATGTTTTCTTCATTTCTCCTCTATCTGCTCTGGGTTTGAGGATTTTGTCCACCAACTGACAATAACCCAGGTAAACATTGTAGCATTCGCACCCTACCTCCTTCAGTAGATGTGGAAGCACAAACAAACATGGACCCACATTGGAATCAAGTATTTTGGCTCTGTTCATGACAGTAACCCTTAGATTGTGAGCTTCCTTCTAGTTCAAGATATTTTTAGTTAAGTTTTTAGTTTGGGCCTCTCTCTGGATTGGGAGGCTAGCAGTATTTCCAATGTGGTCACAATTCTGATGATCTGATTGCAGTATAGCACTAAATCTTTTAAAACACATGTTTCTATTTTTCTGTTTTTGAAAAATTGTGCATACTTTTCAACGTTTGAAATAAAGACAAAATCAGTTGGGTTCTGTTTGTTTAACAATCTCAAGAGCTCTACCACTGAAGTTACAATTTATTTGCTTGCCTTTCTGGAACACAGTGATAGGTTGGCAAACACAACAGTTACTTGTTCACAATCGAGAAGGATTTCTCAAAGTAACATATTTAATGTGTCATAGTTTGGTCCCCAAAGTATCCTGACGTTTGTGTAGGGACTAGTATATGAAATGGTATCAGAAAATCAATTTGCAGCTGGCTAGTCTGCAAATTATAAGTTTATAGACAGCTTCCATTTTAGATACAGAATGCCCAGCCTCTTATTTTTAATATATTTAAAGAAAAAAAAATAAACTACTAAGCAGTGATGATGGATTTTTTTTTCTTTTTTTTTTTTTTTTACTATGGAAGAACACACAAATCAATCTTCTGTTTTCAAACCAGACCAAAAATTTTAAGCTCTTATTTTCCCAGCTTAATTTCTTTCTGGAAAACGTGGCACAATGTTTGACTGATGTGAGCTACAAGAGCTTTTGCTTGGATAACTGAATCTTGGAACTCCCTGAGTCTCACAGGGATGTGTGAAGAACGATGTTTCTGTACAAATCATTCATCTCATTGTGCTGGTCTCACACAGGTTAAGATCTCATTATTGAGACATTCTGTATAAATATTTGGCTAAGAAATTTGTACAATTATCTCACAGAGATAAATAGCTAATGGAGTCTCATGGTCTTTGGCCAAAATGTTGGAAGGCTGAAGGTATTTTCAGGAGAATAATCTTACCAACATTTAAATGTGATGGTTTAGAATGTGGGTGCCTTATTTCAGTCTCTTTAAAGTTAATTTTAAGTGCATGTAATGTGTTTTTCCATTGATCCAAACCTTGTTGAAAAGTGAAGGGATTAGATTTATCTGTTGAGGAGAGACTATGAGACAAGTAATTACAATTTATGTAGATTCTCTTACAAACTATCAGCATTATAGCGTTTGGACATACGTGAAGAAACTTGGAAATGTGAAGTAAAAAGCCACTCAGTCGCATTCAATAAATGTTGCCAAAGATTAACAGGGCCTTTGAGTAGAAGGATTGCTGTGCATTTATTCCTTTTTTTGTGTGTTTAGTTTTTAAATTTTTGTGTCTAATTTTGCTAACTCTTGATGGTCCATGCTAATAGTTTATATTAAAAATGGAATTTAAAAATAAAGTTACTTTTAAGGTAGTTTGGAGTATAGTTATCTTGCTTTATTTAAGAAAAATTTCAGGATGATCAATTAAGGTGCCACAGTTAGGTTCTGCAGTAATTTCTGTTAAATTGCATCATTCCATATTTGAAAATATTTCACAGCTAATGCTCCAAAATAACATTCTGACTAAGGGGAATATTTTTTTCCTAATTTGACATATGGCAGTGATAAATGTAAACAAAAAAGAATACTAATGTTTTGCTGCTTATTTAATGTAGGAAAAATCCTCATCTAAACTGGCATCTGCCTGTGCCTTGTAAATTTGCTTTCATTCAACTGTACAGCTAGATTTTGATCAGTATTCTTTGTTCTCTTAAAACCTACATTCAGTTGTGGGCAGGCAAGAAATGCCCCTGTCATTCCAATGACATACAATGTCAAGTGATTTGCCAGGATCTTCTACAGTCTCATTCAGAATCTCCTGGATCTCAGTGGGAACTGGACTGGGCCATGGAATTACTCAGTATTTGTGCCTAAAACCACAGAACTTGGCTATCCCATGGCTGCAGAGCTTTTTTATAAACAGAGGGCTATGCGATAGCTATTAAGATGAATTTCTGACTGGATAGATTTACTGTTCTAAATTATTTTACTCTTTATCACTAAACATGCCTTTGTTGACTTGTCTTTAAGCTTTAATATTAACAAAAGATTAATTTATAAATTTATTAGTTACTGTGAAAGACTTACAACCACTCTACCTAGCATTACATTTTAAAATTTTGGCGTAAGTAAGTTATTGATATGTGATGGTAAGGTTACAGTGTTGATCTCTGTTTCTCAGAGACTTAGTATGTCCATTCTTTGAGAGCAGCTTAAGATATAAGGAGGAATTCTGTTAAGAACTTGGAAAAATAATAAACCTTACTACTTACATGCAAGGTGTGCTTTTCAACCTTGGCTTTGTTAACATAAGCACTGAAAAACAGGGCCTCACACATGTCAGTTGTTTTCTCATATTCCGTATACAGAATTTTTTTAAAAAATCAAAATTAAAATTTTTCATAGATATTTGCCCTGGGAGAATGGATGTGAGAACAGATGGACAGAAGTTTGTCATATAATTTAATGCACAGCTGGGAGGCTGATATTATGGCGATAACCAGTATATAGTAAGTTAGAAGTGTAAGAAGCCGAAATCAAGCATATACGTGCATGCAACATCTGTGCAACTGGAACAAATTAATAATAAGTTTTCATGCTTCTAATATTGACAGTTATATGTGTGAGCTACCCAAACGGGGTTTGAATTTGTTGTACTGCTTTTCAAGTCAATTGGAATTCTGTTGGTATCTCAGAAAATAGTTTTTTACCCTCTATAATTCTGTTCATATAGACAATGTTTTTAGGGGAGACCATTTTCCACAAAATTAATGTTTCTAAATGCCATTGGCAGCTGTGAAAATCTAAGACAGTATCCTTATAAAAATATTATATGAGCTTCACTAACTCTGCAAATAAGTGGGTGGAACTCCATTGAAATAAAAAGCTAGAACAGAATTGAATTTGACCACGTTTATACAATATCTGAAAATAAAAATTGCTTTAATCTTAACATTTAAATTTCCAGACCTGGTAGCTCTTTTAAATGTGAACATACATGTTCCTGTAGCTTACTGTTTAATTTCTGAGAGAGAAAAACAAAACAAAACAAAACAAAAACAAAAATCCCCAATCTTTTATATGCTCATGATTTCTTTATATTTGCCTCATTCCCACTGGTGTGTATTAAAATCACATACAATTAAGGATTTTTCCCTGAGCATTAAGTGTTAGAAGGCCATCTATGTAATTGAATAATAGTAATTGCTACTTACTTTGAGTGTCTGATGTCTTGTGATATAAAACTTTGGGTTAGCTGTTGATTAGCTGAATTATTTACACACTGCAATTAAATTAGTGAATCCTTTTCTACGTAGCTATGTAAATTGGAATCCTTGAGGCCAAATAATTTTAAAAGTTTTGTATTTTAAACTTAGGGCAGTTTGAGTTGGGAACCTTAAAGATCCTATCTTAAAAAGACTCGCACAGATGGGAATTTCAGACCTGCTCCCATACATAAACTCAGTCATACATCTTACAGATTAAACATCATAAAATAATTATTTTAAACCAAAGTGCTTTTCCCTTTTTTACACTTGAAATGTAAAATATATGAAAAAGGAACAAAACTTTTCCACAGAGTCTTAAAAAAATGTTTCTTCATAGTCCTATGAAGAGTTCTCTAGAAACATTGCAGTACGTGAAAACAGGATTTTCCTTCTCAGTTTTTGTAGCTGCTAGTTTCATAGGAGGGTAAACACTGGATGATTCATGATATAAACAGAAGTTACTCCTTCCATTTTTCTATTGTTTATGTTTTGTTATTGTTAGTGTTTTTACAGATAAAAGCCAAACTGTATCCACTATTTTTCAAGAATCAAATGAAGAAGACGACATATTCATGTATGTGTTTGCTAAGTGTTTCATACTTTTACTTAACACTGTCAAGCATACCTAGGTCATGCTTCTTCACCGTTGGATACATGTATATGAACTATATTCCCTGACAATTATTCCAGTTAATACATCTGTCAAAGAAAAGTAATTTATACCACAAATTAAGTATGGGAAAATTCATTCTAATGATAGGAAACGTTCCATTTCTAATTTTGGTAGTGGAATTCCTCAAAATTTTTAATGATACAATGTAACAAACAGTAAAATAATTCTTAGTCAGATTCACCTTATTAGGAATGTCTTAAGTTTGCATTTCATTTCCTCAGAATATGCTGTAAAATTAAGTGGGCCAAAACCTGGTTTACTTTATAGGGTCAAATTTCTGTCTTAGAACGAATATATAAAAGGTGAACAACTGTTGCTGTTAGCTACAGATTTTGAACCAATATCTAGCTTATAATGGTATAATAAACAATGGCAAACAAATATGCTGCAGAATTTAAGTTCTGAAGAAAGGTTGGAAATCAGTTCATTCAACTCCAGTACTGTTGTTTCCCATTTCAGTTTGTCCTAATTAACATAGAAAAAAAAAAATCTTCAAAGATGTTCAGGATTGCTTTTTACATAATGAAAATTATTAAATGAGCCATTTGCATTGTTTTTTACACCTCTCCTTTGTCCATGAATTCATTTTCATATGAATATTCCTGTGGGGCAAACTGGGACATTAATTTTGCAATAAAAGACCTAGCTAAATTTAACAAATATATATATATGAAAATATATATGGCATAGGCAGACAAGTGTGTAAAATCCACAGATACATCCTCTTATGGCCAAGTCTCCCTTCGCTAACCCCAAATTGTAATTTTGTAGTAGGTCTATGTTAAAAAAAAATTCTTTGGGTCAGGTAGAACCATCATAAGTCTCCATGCTACAGCTAGAGGTAAACAATTCAGCCGCTTCACATATGCAGTTCAAAAGTGATCATAATTTTAAATCAGAATAGTAGATTCTGGTACCGATTTTCAGCAACTGTAAACATGCCCTGAAGTCAATAAATCCATGTTAATTTGCATCACTCAGGGATTTATTCTTCCTTTCCTTTCTCTCACACACCTGAGACAAGGAGTTTCTACCAGTTTGTCAGATTCCTTGGGATAAGAAGCTACAAGATCAAAACCACCTGAGTTAATGGATATCCAATACTGCTGTCCAAGAGACGTCCAGTATTCTAATGCGCCACACTATGGAGCTGGCCTGAGGTGAGAAGTATTATACACACCTCCCAAATTACAGATGCTGGAAGCTAGGATCATTGCCAGGTGATACTCTTCTTCATTTGTCTTAAGTACATGAAGAAAGCTGTAGAATGATTATACTTCTTTGGGCAGCTATTTTGTTTGTGCCTGCATCGATAATAAACCCACCTGACAAAATAACTTCTCCAACTGCCTGATCACCATTTTGGGGGGGAAAAAAACCCAAGTTTTTCAACAACCATGAAAAGAAGATGCATTTCTAGTATCAGTTCCCAGAAACTGTAAAAATAAATTCCAATCTCCACAGTCTATTGCCAGAGAGCCAACAGACTGCCTCTCCCCTGGGAACCTGGTATGGCAATACCTAGGAAATCATCTACTGAGGGTTTGTCTTTTCTAAATTCTTTTAGTGAAAAGAATTTTTAAAACAACAGGAACATCACCTCCTGAATATAGGTTCTGATATCCTCCTTAAGTTTCCTCTTTGATTCAGTTTTTTGTCTAGGCCTTTAGGTTTTTACCTTTGGGGGCACTAGCACCTGTGAAGTCCAGCCTCTTAAAATGTCGGACCCTCAGACATGGTGCCTCCATCCTAAAGCACCTCACATCACTGTTGAAATCCCAGAAATGGTACCAAGAAAACCCATCTGTCTTTGTAAACCTGGAAAATAGAGCTGTCCCATGGGGCCTGTCTTCCCAACATTTTTGTGAGGGTACAGTTCACATCAGCCACCTAATTAAATCTCTGTTCTGCCTGCCTTACTCTGAGGCTGTCAGCATCTGTGAAATAAGAATATGCCTAAAATCTAGTCTGTCCCAGGCACCTAGCACTTTGTACACACCTTTTCTGGCAAGCAGCATTGACCTTCCCCGCAGTATGGCTATTTGTTATTATTTTGTTGGTAGCAGAACTATGCTAGATGCTAATGAAGTACTTATATTTAGTAAGTGCACTGTTATGTGCTGGCTGTGAAGCTGTCAGCAGCACTGTTAAAGAGCACAAGCTTAATACAAAGGTGCACTGCACCGAGAATGGGATTTTTATGCTATATGGAAGGGAAGTACATTTAATGAGTTTATTTTGGTTAGCCTTCAGTTTCGTTTCGGGTCTGCCAATACTGACATCATTTTTCCAAGCAGGGAGCACCATCTAAGACTTCTCTGCATCACTATCCTTGGGGTGGGCCTGTGTGTGGGCTGATGCAGTGCTCAGCACTCCAGATCATTTCACTTTGGCATCCATTCTGCTTCTGCTGTCTCTATCTCCATATTCTATTTTAGGTGCTTACAGAACACCAATCTCCTTAACTAAAATATAACCGAAACAAGATATTCAGCATCAAATAAGCAAAAAGCAAAAGGCTCAAAATAGACTATTTTGTTATTATTATTATGGGGTTAAATAACTTAAACATGGATATCTTCCTACTCCTCCTCCCACTTCTTTCTTTAGTTTGTCTCATCTTGTTCTCTCCTCAGGGACATACTGCTGGCCCACAAGCTTCTGCAAAAAAAAAAAAATTAACTCTGTTTTGTGATGGGTCCATGGGTGCCAAGTAATCATTTAGCTTAATTCTTGCAAAAAAATATTATCGTTAGAATTTTTACTGTCCCAAGTTCCTTGCATCAATCCCTCAACCTCCAGTGGGGCCAGGGAACGTCCGTTAGAGAGAGAACCTCTTTCGATCCCCTTGCCAGACCCTGGTGCAGGTTGTTCCAGCTGGATGTTCGATAAAGTAAGGGATCTCACTCTGCTTTCCCAGGCCAGCAACCGCAACGCTGTGTTGGCACAAAGACACATCTACACCTGAACCTGCATTTCAAAGTAAAGTGTCTGTTACTTGATCTGCGGGTATGGGGAAGGCCCCGAAGTCTTTTAACCAGGCACCCTGAAGTAAGGACATGGAGGAGTAATTGTCAATACGCTGGGGACTTCAGTTTGCTATAGGAGATTTAAAGTAATTTGGTAAGCCATCAGGCTTCCCTAATCACCTGCCCCTCGTTAGGGTGCCTGCATTTCTCCCAGGTGCTGTGCACTTCGCCGTCAACTCTACAGGTACTTCTTGTCACTCTCAAAAGTGCTACGGCTGACATTCACAATTAACTGAAAGCCACTGCAGGGCCCTCAGCTGCGTCTCTAGCAAATGCCATTTGCCGGCTTGGCACAGACAGCTCTGCAGCTCCTCCTGAGTCACTTTAAAGTTTGCCTGAGTTGAGGCTCTGGCTCCGCTCTGGGGACTCTCCAGGCTCCCGGTCTCCACACTGGGTCTGCTGATGGCAACCAACATTATAACCACCCGCAGGGGCCTGGGCGGCACAGCACAAAACGCTGTGCTTTCCCAGAGCCTCTTGCAGCCTCCCGAGGGAAACTTTATTCCCTCCCCCCGCCTTTCCTGCAGTCAGCGGGCCCGTAGCGGGAGGGCTCTGGGGAGGCCTCGGCCGGGGCGGCAGCCGTTAGCCGCCCGGGGGAAGGCGGCAACACCCCACACCCCATCACGTCCCAGAGCGCCAACGGGGGAGAAGCAGCGACCGAGACGCTGGGAGCAACGCTAAGGCAGCCCAGCTGAGCCGAGCCCAGCTGAGCTGAGCCCAGCCGGCCTCCCCCTGACAGCCACCGCCGGCTGCGAGCTGCTCGCCGGCGCCCTCACCGGCGGCACGGCCTATATCCTCTCGCGGAAGGTTACCGACGGAAGCGGTGCCGAGCAGCAAAGGCAGCGCTTTGTCAAGCAACGCCTGATTGGCTAAAGGGACTCTGCAATGGTTAGCTGGTAAGAGTCGAGCCCTCCGATTGGCTGCGTTGTACCTGCAATGCGTCAAGTGAAGATGCTGGAGTGCGTGTGCTAGAGGGCTCCTGTGGGGACGGGGACGGCGGCGGCCGGAATGGCGGCACCGGCGGCAGCCCGCAGCCCGGCCCTGGGCGCGCCCGCGGGGGCTGGCGAGGGCCGCGGGGCTCTCGGCTCTTCCCGGCAGTATCAGCAGCCCTAGCACTAGCTTTCCCGCCTCTTCGTGTTGCTGCAGCTTGCAGCAATAGCAGTTGTTTGGCTCGTGAGCCAGAACTGGCAGGAAGAAGGTTTTCCTCGGTCAGTTATCTCTTTAGAGCCGGCTTTCTGTATCAAAAAGCAGCAGAAAGATAAAGCCTCTTTTCTCATTCCTTCTCCATAGCACAGGGTGACACAAGTCCAAATGTGCCAGTATAAATTCGCTTATTCTACCCTTCCGCTGTCGGTGTGAGAAGCATTTGTTGGACTGCCGCTTGAAGTGACAGTTTGAGTGACAGTTGGAGGAGGATATGCACGATAAAGCGATGAGTGATCTCTTAAATATCTTGCCGAAAAGCTGCAAAATCTTTCAACACAAAGAGATGCTTCTGCAAAATTAGACCTGAACCGCAAAGCTGCGCCGAGGCACGTGAGGTTGGCCTGCCTCCATCTGGGACTGGGGACACTGTTGGGTGCCTTGGGCCCCCCGGGGCCTGGCCAAAACCCGCCGCAGCCCTGTTGCATAAGGAGCTGCAGACATGCCATAACCACTCGTGTGGGTTTTTTTATATGTCTCTAATTGAAATAAGCTTAGATAAACCAGAAGCAAACAAATAACAAAGCCCTCTCTGCACCAGTAAGAGGCTTACAGGACCGCTTTAAAAATGATGTGAGTTTCCAACCAGCAAAAACTTCCTGGGACATCTGCAAAGCTAGATAAAATAACTGACTGAACGTAGAAGTAGGTTACAGACACTCATAATATTAACTAAATTCTTAGGTATTTCTGTTATTGGAGTGTTTTTGTTGCTCTTTTTCAAAATCTCATTCTTGAAGAGTGAGTCAGCAAGAAGTCTGTGAATGTGTAATAGAGCAGTATTTTAAATAAGGTTTCACTGCTAAGCAATTATTAAAGAGCATGTTTACATACGAAAAAATTGCAAATTTGCATATGAGCATAATGACCCAATTTCTTGACTCTAGTGAAAGTTTTCTTTCTAACTAGTTTTCAGGATAACATTCCTGATGTGCTATTGGAAGAATTTTGAGTTAAATGCCATGGTAATTTGTTTCCTTTATTCCATTTGCTTACTAGGAAGTAGAACACTTTTTATTTTAAAATTATCGTGATTTCCTTTTCACAGCCTTACTGAGTACAAACTGCTTTCCTGCTGGCATGAACACTTCTTACTGTCTTTTTTCCAAATAATTATTTCAAAATATTAAAAACAATCTAGCCACTCTTCCTTGTAGTCTTAGCCAAGCGGAACAAGTGCAATGAAACCTTTATGAGAAAATTATATGCCTGTGTAATTATAATTATAACATTTATGAGTGAAGGTGTGCTAAAAACCATAAAAGCGAGATTGCAAGCTCATTCTGTTTCTTACTTGATCATTTAAAGCACGATAGCGTTTTCAAAAAAATCAGGTTTTCAGGTTTGAAACTCTTAGGTCTAAAACAGCTTGAGGTCTTAACAAATGGAAAGGAAATGGGTATAAAGCACTGGTAAAAGCATCACACAGTATTCTCCAGAACAACCTTAGACATTGTATATTAGTCATAAAGCCAATTTGTTGTATTAATTTAGTATAATGACTATACAAATAATAGAACTACATTAATGCCAAAGAACCTGAAAAAAGCTTTTAGAAGTGACATCATTGTTCAGTGGGAAATAAATATACCAATTTCAGGGTTAACAAGTAGATGATTGTTGCTGCAGATAGTCTCCTGTAAAGCCAGCTGTTTAAAAGAGAAACTCAAGAGCTTTAGTGTGTTCGGGACAGCAATTACATTCCAAGAATTAGCTTACTGTGAGCACAGGTTGCTAGAATGAATCAATGGGAATGAATACCAATTATATGTTTATTAGAAAGAGTTACATTGTTCAAGTTCAGGTAATTCCAAATCAATCATCTCTGAGTGATAATGCTACATTTTATTTTTTTATGGGGGCTGTATGTAGGCCATGTCCAAAGCCATCAGTGAGTATGGGAAACGTAATACCCAGTAGTAAGCAGAGTTCATTACGGTTCTAAATATATCACATATCACATTCAAAACATTCTGACTAAAATCATGCACCATCCATTTAAAG